CTGGGAGGTGGAGGTTGCAGTGAGCCAAGATCACACCACTGCACTCCAGCCTGGGGGATAGAGCAAGACTCTGTCTCAAAAAATAAAAAGAAAAAGAGAAAGGAAACAAAGCTTCTATTCAACATAATATTGGAAGTCTTAGCCAGATAAATTAGACAGAAAAAGAAATACAAGTCATCCAAATAAGAAAGAAGTAAAATGTTTTTTTTTTGTAATGACATGAGCTTGTATGTAGAAAACTTTATGGACTCTACAAAAATTAATGCAAAAATTAATAGTGTTTCTCTACACTAACAATGAACTATCTGAAAAAGAAATCAAGAAAGCATTTCCACTCATAATAGCATCAGAAAGAATAAAATAATTAGATTTAACCAAGAATGTGAAAGATCTCTACATAAAAGAACTATAAAGCATTTATGAAAAAATTGAAGACACAGATAAATGAAAAGATATTGTATGTTCATGAATTTAAAAAAATATATTATTAAAATGTCCATGCTTCCTAGAGCAGTCTACAGATTCAATGCAATTTTTTACCAAAATTCAAATACTTTTCACAGAAATAGAAAAAAATCTTAAAATTCATATGGAACCCCAAAAGACCTTAAATAACCAAAGCAATCTTGAGAAAGGTATTCTCAAGAGGTATCACACTTCTTGATTTCAAATTATACTACAAAGCTATATTAATCAAAACAGTATGGAACCATAACTAAAACAGGCATATAGGTCAGTGAGACAGAATGAAGATTCCAGAAATTAACCCACACATCCACAGTAAACTAATTTTCCACAACAGTGACAAGAATACAAAATGGAGAAATGATAGTCTCTTCAATTCACAGTGTTGGGAATACTAAATATCCATATTTGAAAGAATGAAATTGGATCTTTATTTTACATCACACACACACACACACACACACACACACACACACAACTCAAAATGGATAAAAGATATAAATGTAAGACCTGCAACTATACAACTCCTAAAAGAAAACGTAAGAAATGAGATTTTTGACATTGACCTTGGCAATGATTTTTTAGATATGACACTAAAGGCACAGGCAACAAAGGCAAAAGTAGACAAGCAGACTACAGCAAGCTAAAAAGCTTCTGCACAATAAGAAAACAACCACTACAATGATAAGGCAATGTACAGAATGGGAGATAATATTTTATTTCATATTACTGATAAGGGGTTAATACCCAAAATATATAAAGAACTGAAACAACTCAATAGCAAAATTACAAATTACCTGATATAAAAATGGACAGAGGCCCTAAATAAGACTTATCTCCAAAGAAGACATAAGATGACCAATATGTATATGAAACAGTGTTCAACATCACTAATTATCAGAGAAATGCAAATCAAAACTATAATGAGATATAATCATGATCCCTATTACTAAAAAGGAAAAATAAGAAGTATTGGCAAGGATATTGAGAAAACAACCTAGTACACTGTTGATAAGATTGTAAATTGGTATTGCCATTATGGAAAATAATATGGAAGTTCCTCAAAAAACTAAAACTAGAGCTACATATTATCTAACAGTCCCTCCTCTGGATATATATATATATACACCTAAAGGAAATAAAATTAGTATCTCAAAGAGGTATCTGTCTCTGGCCTGGGAGGTTGCAGTGAGCCAAGATCATACAACTGCACTCTAGCCTAGGTGACAGAGTGAGACTCTGTCTCAAAATAAAACAAAACAAAAAACCTCCTCCACAATAATATTCCAAACCCAAATAATTTCACAGGTGAATTGTATTCTACCAAATATTAAAATAATCACTTAAAAATCAAAATTATGTTAACAAAAGCATGATCCATAAAAGAACAAATTTGTAAATTGTAATTAGTCAAAATTAAAATGGTTTGCTGGTTTGCTTTCTTAAAGACACTGTTAAGAAAATGAAAATGACAGGTCACAGACTGAGAGAAAATATTAACAAATTATAAACCCCATAAAGCATTTTATCCAGAACACAGGAAGAACTTTCAAAATCAATAATGAGAAAATAACCCAACTCAAAAACAATATATAAGACTAACAGATTTAAGCAGACATTTCATCAGAGAGGATACTCATATGGCAAATAAGCAACTAAAGAGATACTCAACATTATTAGTCATTAGGAAAATGCAAATTAAAACCACAATGAAATACCACTATACTCCTTTAATAATAGTTAACAAATTAATAATTTCTTTTAAAAAGTGCAAACTAAGTGTTGTCAAGAATGTGGAAAAATTGAGGCTCTCATAAACTGCTGGTGGGAATGTATAATGGTAAAACCACTTTGAAAACAGTTTGACAATTTCTTAAAAAGTTAAATGTATATCTACTATATGATTCAACCATAAATACCTCTACTGGGAAGTATTTACCCAAAAGAAATGAAAGCGTATGTGCATTAAAATATTTGTACATGAATGTTTATAGCAGTTCTATTTATAATGGGCAAAAATTGTAAACAACCCAATGTATGTAAAAAATGACTGGATAAACAAACTGTGGTATATCCATACAATGAAATAAAAAGGATTGAGCTGTTTATATACACTTAACCTGAATGAATCTCAAAATAATCCTTCTGAATGAAGGAAGTCAGTCAAAGGAGTACCTCCTGGATGATTTCATTTATATGACAATCTAGGAAATGCAAACTAAGGTATAGTGACAGAAAGCAGATCAGATGTTTGGGGGATAGAGAAGAACAGGAAGAAGCAAGAGTTTAGATTACAAAGGGGCATGAGGAAACTCTTGGGGATGACTAACGTGTTCACTATCTTGATTGCGGTGATAATTTCATGGATGTGTATACATGTCAAAACCATCAATTTGAATAGTTTAAATATGTGTAGTTTATTTAAAGTCAGTTATACTTCAGTAAAGGCGTTAAATTAAGTGACAGAGCAAGCTATGGACTATGGTCATTCCCATGCCACAACTCAAGAAGGTGAAATAAAACTCTCTAGAAAAATCTAGAAATTTTTATTAAGGCAATATTTGAAATTGTAACATGGCTAAAATAATGCCATCTCTCAAATATTCTCTGAAAATGCCTTCAAACTCTCTAAGATAAGCCACTCACTCACAGGCAGATGGCATTTAACCTAACATGCAAATACTCCTTCAACATCCTTTTATACCTACAATAGGCATTGAAATTGATAGAACCTCAGAGATATATGCCCAGGAATCTCAGGAATTCAAAATGAATAATAAATAAATAAATGCCTAGTTTGGGATACATCAGTTTGTATTTAGAAAGTGAACAGAAAGTCTCCTGTCTTCTCTCTCCGACGCACTGGGTTCACTCTGAAGTATAATGCAGCAGGCCAGGTGGGGCCACAGATACGCTATCTCCCTAGAGTAAGTCACCAGTTTTAATCTGCATAGTCAACAGTGAGTTTTTGCTTGGAAAACAGATATAAATGGGAAAATTCCAAACTATTCCACATCAGCAAGTGCAATTTAACACTGCTGCAATCTGTCTAAAAATCTGTTAATTTAAGTGCATGGGGTAGTCTCTGCCAGTTCTCTCCCCCGCCTTTTTTTTTTTTTTTTTTTTAACACAATGTAATTCTGAAGAACTGCATTCTGAAGTTCCCCTGAACTATAACTTACTGTATATTCTCTGCTTTATTTAAGCCATATCTCTTGGTTATTTAAACAATACAAATTGAAATATAACATAAATGAACTATACAACTAAATAGCCAAGAATTTAGTAAGGTTAAAAAAGAAATAGTGCATCGGTTACCTGAATGTTAGGATATTTCCTTGGCTTAGTATTGTCATGAATCAGCTAAGAATTTTTGTATATACAAAGGATCACAGGCAGATGGCATTTAACCTAACATGCAAATAGCCCTTCAACCTCTTTTTATACCTACAGTAGGCATTGAAACTGATAACGCCTCAGAGATATATGCCCAGGAATCTCAGGAATTCAAAATGAATAATAAGTAAATAAATGCCTGGTTTGGGATATGTCAGTTTATATTCAGAAAGAAAAGATAATGGTTCCATAAAATGTGGTTATGAAACTTGCTATTCACTTAGAGATATCCAGTGCTCTGTCAGTAAGTGCTTAATAAATTGCTTGTAGGAAAGGAGGCAATTTCTGTGGTGTAAATACTTCCACCATGGTTGATTTTCAGCTGATTTAACTGAATGCGAAGCTCAGAAGAGAAATGCACAATCAGCTCTCCTGAGCTTGATGACCAGCTGATACAAGCACCCCACTAGAAATATCTCATGTGTGACTACGGCTAACTCCAATCCTACAATGGAAATAAACTGAATTTCTAGGATATGTTTGTGTGTTTTATTCAACTCCAAGTCTTCATCTCTGAAGTTTTCTTTTAACTTGTGATAATAAATTTCCATCTGAAAAAAAATGATATTTAGGACATAGGAGACATAACATCAAGGATTTGAAATATCTTTAGATCAAGGTATTCAATTAATTTCCTTGTTTCTTTTTAAACAGGAATCTTTAACTGTTCAAACTTAATTCAAATTAAGTGCTTATTGTGAGTTCCCCAAAAACTGAAAAGAAAAGTAAACAAACAAGACACAATATTTTAATACTGATCTTAGACAAAAGTTAACCTAAGGCAACTTGTTAGTAAAGGGCAGGATGGTTATGATAAAGTCAAACATCTCCCATTGCAGAACTTGTGTGCCCCACTTTTAAGTAGATGTGTGGGTCTATGTTTGATTTGTGTTTGGGGGAGTGTTGTTTTGCAATAATAGGAATTAATAAGGAGAAAGCAAAAGCCATCTTTTTGTGGTGTTTTCCACAAAGAGAGACTTTCTTCAAAGCTTTTTAAGGAAAACTAACAGAAGGAAATGAACTTATCAAACTAGAAGTTCAACAAAAGGGGAGAACACAAGAGTAACAGCAGCTCCAGCATTTCAACGCAACTGTAGCAAAGAAATAATAAAAGGAGTAACAAAAGAGCAGACATATACCCAAGTTCTGAGTCTGACTGCAGCTGGAGCACTGAGGGGTCTGTGTCCCACTGCAGGGTCCTAATTGTGCAGCACAAAGGAAAAAGAACACAGAGAATTAACAAAAGGGGAGGGCAACAAACCAAACCAAACTATGTCATTCATCAAGGCAAGAGCATATACAATACATACACAGAACATGTCCCCCCTCCATCCCCTCCATCCCCAGTGACTATCAAACAACAAGAGAAAGCGAGGAGCCATCCTCTCCTGCAAACATCTGTTTAATATCGGGAGCTATGACTGCTTTCATGAAGGAAAGTTGACACCAAGTGTTCAAACTCCACACACACCCCCACCCTTTGTTTTGTTTCGTATTGAGGCTTCATTGATTTGAGCAAGTAACCCACTGCATGTATCTCTGACACCCCAAAGCCCATCCACATCTGGGAACTCCAAGCATCTTCTATGTGGTGAAAAGAACTAAACGCATGGGTGCAAATGGGTCAGGGCAGGGGTATGACTGCAGGACTTGGTGAATAACTGGCTTCCTTGGATTAGATACTACAAATATAATGCATTAGATTTTGAGACTCAAGGGTATTTTTATGCTTGTTTATATATTGCACCCCAAGATGGTCACTAACAATATCATTGCTCTCTAAGATGTCAGGGATTGCTTATATCTTATATTTTTTAAACATTGCATAAACAATAGCACAAAGTATCAATAGTTACCAAAGCATTCAATTTCCCTTGCTGTTTCTCCTTGAAAATAAGAGGGGATAAATGGCTCTTCTATAAACACAGCACATGCCAGGACCTTTCTCAGCCAGGCTCTTTAAATATCCTGCACAGAACTGGTTACAGGTGAATCAGGCATGAGGTTATCTCAGAGGCAACTAATGGACAGCACAAACTTTGGGATCAGGCATCTGTGATTCAAATCTTGCCTCTGTGACTTACCAGCTGTGTGACATTGAGCATGCTGTTTAGTAAGTTCTCAGCCACTGCATCCCTTTGTTTACTCTGTGGCCTACAGAGCAGTAGCATCAGCATCTCTTTGGAGTTTGTTGGAAATGCAGAAACTCACATCCCACCCCAGACTTAGTGACTCCATATTACAGTTTAACACGTTCCCCAGGTGATCCACAGGCACCCTAAATTTGAGAAGCCCTGCTCGGTTTCCTTGTCTGTCAATACTTACTGTAGCTTATATGATAACTTATGAACTGGCCTGCAGTGATCTTCCAAACTTCTCTCTAACCATTCATTCACTCACATTATGTCAACTCTGCATACTCCTTAATGTTCTTCCCTTAAACATCTGCATGGCTCATGACTTTGCTTCTTTTGTGTCTTGGCTCAAATGTCACCTCCTCAAAGAGGCTCCCCTGCTTCACTACCTGATCTCAAGTAGCACTTCCTTACTACTCTTCATTTCCTTCCTTTCCCCTACTTTATTTCCTTCATAGCATTCATCTTTACCTATGATTTTCTTGAATATCACCTTATTTATTTTTGTTTGTTGTCTGACTTTGGACTTAAGCTTCATAATGGCAGGGGTGGCTACATCTCTAGAATATAGGGATATGCCTAGAACTGTATCTCACATATGTGCTTATGTAATACGATATTTATTGAATGAATGAATATTTTGCTGGTTTTCTACAAGGATTAAATGCAAGTATACCTATAAAGCACATAGTAACCATATGATAAACAGCAGCTGCTTTTACTACTGCCACAACAACTCTACCTACTCTTAAGGTTTCTTTGAGTCAATGCTTGACCTATTTGACAGATCGCACATTAACCCCTCCTGCAGAAGTAGCAGATTATGGATTCACAGCTTCCCTTCTATGCTCTGGCTGTGCTCTTTTTTTTTTTTTTTACATAAAACCTCTGAAAGATTAAAACTGAAGTCCATTGAGACACTAACTGGCCTGTGTTTCTTAGACCAGCGCTTCTCAAATTTTAATGCACATACAGATACCCGGGAATATTGCTAAAATGCAGAGTCTGACTTAGTAGGTGTGGGGGTGGCCCGAGACTCTGCATTTCAAACAAGCACCAGGAGATACAGATGTTGCTGCTCTGTGGAACACACTTTGAGCAACAATGACTTGACTTAGATAAGTGGTTCTCAAACTTTCATGTTCATCAGAATGACCTGGAGGGCTTTAATAAGCTGATACGCAACCCTAGAAATTCTGATTCAGTAGATCTGGAGTGGGGCCCTAGAATTTGTAGTTCTAACAAGTTTCCAGGTGATGTTTACAGGGCTAACCATGGGACCACCTTTGGAGAATGACAGAGCTAGACTATTGCTTTCAGTAGTCAGCATGCATACATCAGCATCTAAACTTCTGATTTGCTCAAGCCTGGCCTCAGGCCCAGGACACCCCTAGACCAATTAAGCCAGAATGTCTGGGGTGGGACCCAGGCATCTGTAGTTTTTTAAAGCTTTCCAGGTGATTCTAACGTGCAGCTAGGGGTGAGAACCCATGCTCTGAATTCATTCTCTGCTGAAGAAAATTAGCCCTTCTTGCTTCTGGGCACTGATTCTTTAATCTCAGTTCAAATCGTGAAAGTAATGGAATATGTTAACATAATTCATACTTGCTGTTCACATATCTCTGGGGGTCAAATTTAAGAGCATTTCTTCTGCTATAGACAAAAGAGCAGACTCTGGCTCTTGCTGATTGTAAGAAGCTTTCCTTGCAAGGAGTGGGATGAGCTGTTTGACCTCCATTTTCCTTGAGGTTTCTGATGGGCTGATCTTTGGTGACATTTTCCACTTCTCCCAGCAGCTCCCCAATGGTCTGGCTCTTCTGATACGTATTGGACAGATCACCTGAACTCACTATACCCTTAAGAAGTATAAATAGTGATTCTATCAGAATCATCCACTTAAAAAGTCCACAGATTAGTACTGGGGAGTTTGCATTTACTTGGCCAGAAAAACAAAGGTAGGAATGTGACACTACAACAGCCTTGCCTCCTGGCACACCTATGTTATTCAGGAACAGAAATCATAGTTATCGTCAGTAACAAGCTGTGTGGGGTAAGGCGTGAAGCCAAGGATGCTATCAAATGTGCCAGTTGTATTATCTTTTCATTTTTCCCATTATTATCTGTGGGGTGGTTCCTCTCAAGAATATGTAAATATGCAAATTTTTTGAAAGGAACTTAAGGCCAATATGCAAAATGGGCAAAGGTTGTTTGTGTTTCCAGGAATAGCCTAGAAATATGTATTAAACATTTGCGGAATTCCTTCTGTGTAAACCATGGAGGACAGCTTCCCTGCAGATGGCAGCATTTTAGAGAAGACCACGCCTGGCCCCGGGTGGGAGGTCTGTGTCCTGGATATGGCTTCACTGTGTCATCAGGCAAATCTCCTTTTGTTCCCAGCAAATGAGGGTGCAGGCATCGAGGCCCTTTAACATTCTTCTCTGTCTGATATTTTAAAATCTAGGATGATTATTCAACTGCCTTTTAACTTTCTCTTCTCCTGTTAGAATAATTTATTTAACCAATGGGCAGAGATCTTATTTTCCAGCCATTTTATCAAGTAATTGTATCCCTGAAAACAAAATGATGGTGATATAGAAATCACCCTGTATACTATAATAGTTCTATTTTTTATTCATTTCTGGAATGGCTGAATCAATGCATGCAGAGGAGAAAATATTTTGATAGGAACATTCATTCGCTTATTCAAAAAACATCTATTAAGAACATAAAATACAAAATACTGTAACAGAGGGTTGAAAAAATGTTCAAGGAACTTAGAGTTATTATGAGGAGATAAAACATATATAAATATGCCTGGCGCGGTAGCTCACGCCTGTAAGCCCAGCACTTTGGGAGGCCGAGGCAGGCAGATTGCTCAAGTCCAAGAGTTCAAGACCAGCCTGGGCGACAGGGCGAAACCCTGCATCTTCAAAAAATACAGAAATTAGCCAGGTATGGTGGTGCTCGCTTGTGTTCACAGCTACTCAGGAGGCTGAGGTGGGAGGATAGCTTGAGCCTAGGAAGCAGAGGCTGCAGTGAGCTGAGATCATGCCACTGCACTCCAGCCTGGGTGACAGAGTAAGACCCTGTCTCAAAAAAAAAAAAAAAAAAAGCCAAAACATATATATATAGTTTAGTAGAACAAGACTGAAGGCAAAACTTGCCATATTCTATTTGACCTGGTCTTGGAGGAGGGGGTAGGATTTAGGCCTAAATTCATTTTCCTCAGTGCTTAGTTTATTGGACTTAGGTGGCTGAGTTAGTCCACTAGGTCTTATAAGACTGTTATATTTTATATGCCAACTTAGCAATATGTTGTGAAAACAATAATAACCAGGCAGACAAATATATAAGCCTGACAAAGTCTTATCTCCTTGAAGCCCAGCTTCCTGGGAAGCCAGATGTCCAGCAGTATCTTTGGGACTAGAGTAGGTGATGTTGAATGTTTAACTATGACAGCTTCCCCTACCCTGCAGTACCACATGTATGCTGAGGGACATGGAACTTGCACTTAAGAATTTTACATTTTGGTAAAAGAAATGAGACATATGAATATTTATGCCTAATAATATACCGCTAACATCTACAAGGAAGAAAGTAGCTCTCATCACTTGCTCAGAGACTGGCACAGTTTAAAGTTTGAATAAATATGAGCTGAAAATATTAATAAATGCCATAAGAAAGACAGATTAAGAACAGTGATCATTATAATTTCCCTTCACTTAGTGTTTGCTGCGTGCCAGCCAGCCAGGCATTTAACTGCACTTTCATCATCCTTTGGAAGTCACAGCAGGGAGACACACTTCCACTGAAAAGATTAGAGATTCCATTTGACCTGGTCTTGGAGGAGGGGGTAGGATATGGGCTTAAATTCATTTTCCTCAGTGCTTAGCTTATTGGACTTAGGTGGCTGAGTTAGTCCACTAGGTCTTATAAGACTGCTGTATTTTAGATGCCAACTTAGCAATTTGTTGTGAGAACAATAATAACCAGGCAGACAAATATATAAGCCTGACAAAGTCTTCTCTCCTTGAAGCCCAGCTTCCTGGGAAGCCAGATGTCCA